CAGCTGTTCGTGTCCGGTGTGAAATCAGAAGTCAATGCTGACTTATTTGTAACGCCACTTTCATACTTAATAAGTAAGTATCTTTTTCTTTACCTAAACAAGTAGTTTTGTTGCTTAACTAAACAGTGCAGGTGCTCGCGCAGGCACACTGATCGCTCGAATTGCTGGACATCTGCAAAAAAAAACATACAAAAAAAGGCCAAAACGGTTTGGTAAGATGTACGAAGCGTTACGAGGGGATATGTTTTTGTTGTCAGAAAAAGGCTGAAATTAATGAGATAAGATTTTAAAAAAACTGGATTAAACGCTGCATCATTAGTTTGAAGGCCATGTGAAACCAGGCCAGGAATGGCAGACTCCACCACGAGTAAAAAATGCTGACCATAAACAGAATAAAATATGGGGTTTGGTTTCATAAACATCTTAAGGTTTATAACTTTGACGAAGTCCATACTTTGAATATTTCCTCTGCGGTGGAGGCACACCCGGCTTCAGGAATGGAGGGCCCCTTTGTTGGAGGCCTGCACTGTATTACATTTCGCCATTTATTTGCCTGGCGGCTGCTCGCTGACCCGTGGGGTCGGCCGCTGTGCTGACAGATGACCGGCCTTCCTCTGTCACACCTGGTCACAATATGTCAGCTCAGCGCCTATAGATCCTATACGCCGCACACACACACACACACACACACACATACACACACACACACACACACACACACACACAATGTGGCACATGTCGGAAAACAGGGAAAGAACGTTATCCGTCATGGCAATGTGTCGTGACAGATGAGGAAAGGTGCAAACGCCCAAAGCATCACATCTGCCATCGGCGATCTGCTCTCCTCGCTCGGACAAAGACGTGAAATACGATGAGCAGTGAGATAATGGCAACCTCAGAAATAAAAGACATATTTATCCACCTCTAGAGAATGAAGTTATGCACATAGTGATGAATGTTGCTCTTTCACAGCCTCTTCTATCAACCATTAATTACCAAACAACTCGGGTGTGAAATTGCCCCTCAATGACGGCTCCGTGTGGCCGCTCAACTTTCAAGTGATCTTGTTTATTGTTCCGATATTGAGCAAATAGATTAAAGATTGATTTCAATTTAAAATGTTAAAATGTGTTGATCCCGAGCAGCTTTTAAACGCTGTATGTGGGAACACCTGCTCCCTGTACTCCACTGGTTCCAGGTCTCTGCTGTGATATCAGAGGGCGTGCTTGTAGCCTTTTTACATTAACATCGCTGTCACGTTATCTGTTATTATGACTATTAGTGTAATTACTGTAAATACACCGGGCTGCCGCTGAGATGACTTAAATACACAGAGGAAAACTGCATATATTCCTGTATTTCTGCAGTTACCAGATTTCTGGACACCTGGTATCACTGGATTCTGCTACATCGGTTTTAAACACAAAGCGGCTCTGGGCTCGCTGGCAGCACTGAGGAGCTACTTGCAGGAACATCTCAGTGCATCACACTGCATCTTCCTTCCTAGTTGTTCTCACAAACAGTGTGAAAGTAAAGACTTGAATGCTTTTAATGTGGAGCAGCAGCAGCACGTGCATTAGAGTTACTAAACACAGCTCTGACTGAATCATTTCTAAACACTTACAGTCTCAGTTTGATTTACTCACTTAAATCACTCCAAGCAACTTCCTCTTAGTGCACAGCTGCAATATCAAGACGAGAGAAGAGATAAAACTGTTGATATGCTCTTTTAATTAAATTATCATTTATTACGAAGCACTTACAGCATTAAGCTTTACGAGCAGCACTGAGTGCTTGCTTTCTTTGCCCCGGGTTTCGCCAATCATTGGTGGAGGTTGTACGCAGCCTCGGACATTTTTGGCAGCTTTTTACTGGAAAAATGTTTTCCGAGGTTCAACTGGAGCACCTGGTTGGAGCAGAATGTAAACGTCATCGATGTCCCACTACAGGCCCGTGGTAATTGCAGCCTAATGCACTTTGTCTTCTCATAAGAGTGAAATCACCCCGGTGCATTAGCAGATCGAGTTCTTTTTTTAAACTAATTCATACTATTTTCTTCCACAAAGCTTTTATTTTGTAAATGATTCAGTGTTACTCTCCCCTTGTGCTTTTTGCAGCGACATTATATTTTCTTTTAGACCCCAATGTTTTTATTTATTTATTTATTAATAGATGTGTAAGAGGAGGACACATCTGGCTGAGATGTAATAACCACTGGAATTTCTATCTATGAAGCCCTTGGAGCGTTGACATCTTATATTTTATTTTTGCTTCTACCGGTGCACACTTCTACCGCACCAGTGGTTACTTCCTGTTTACTTAAAACCTTCTGCATCCGTCCTCTGCCTGGTCGTGACTGCTTCAGTTCAGCCGGTAACTTGTTGATTGACTTGTTATTCTGTTCTAACAATCACTTGTTCTTGTATTTCTATTTCTGTCGTTCCACTATAACTGTTAACAGAAAGTTGCTGTGAGAGGCAACATGCCCTGCAAATGTCATGAAAAGACAAACAACATGTCCATCTCTCAATACTTTCTATGTCTGTTGCAGTCAATCCCACTGGTTCCTACTTAAGTTATAGAAAAGAGTATATCATTTCCAAAAACAGATGGCCACTGGTGTTTTCAGGACAACATAGTACTTTGATTGGGGACTACTTTAAGCTACGGACTAATGCACATTTGTTGCTGTAGTGAGTATTTGAAGCAGCAGAACTGCGTATGTGTGATTGGTGTAAAATATAGAGAAGCAGATTACGCACAAGCTGCACTGCAGATGAGAGAGAAGCTGCTCTTGTCGCACCTGTTTCTGATAAATAAGATGCACGAGTTCCAGCAGATCTGCTCCTTTAAGTTTCTTGCAAAAGCAGATGGTGGAACATGTAAAAAGTAGCACTCTTAATGCAATCAGCATGCACTTGATGAAGCAGATTCACACTCATGGCTCGTGCTCTGTAGATCAATCTGTCCACATAACGCAAGACGAGGTGGAAATTGTGCCACAGAATGCAATGAAATCTACTAAATGACTACAAGCAGCTGGCATCAACTGTATCACGAGCCACATGTCAACCTCTGGCAGCTTCGACTGGCCGACCCTGGAGGTAAGGAGGTCCAGCTGAGGCAGCGCGGCGGTGGGAGTCAAATACACGGTGCATTAAACAAGAATCAAACAGCAGCCTGTGCTGCTTTTTTCTGCCTTCTGGTCCGAGCACGTGAACAGAATGTCCCTCACTTGGATGCTAACGAGTGTGAGTGGTTATTCACCGAGTCTGCCACACGGAGATTTATTTTCCCACGAGGTACCCGCATCATTCCAGAGTGTGTGTCCGTCACCAAACCACCAACCAAACAACAAACCAACCAAAGTTTAGGTGGGTGGCGTTAAACTCCAGACTCATTTACATCAGTAAAGATTACATGACAATAATCTTTACAAAATGTACCAAACACTGGCAATGAGGAAGATGTTGGGTAGATAATACTGAGAATAAATATTAAACAAAATTCAAATCATACCCTCTAAACTAAAAAGAAAGCTGGTTAGAACTGAAACCTAACACTGTTACTAAGCTCGTTTACGAGATATCTAGTCATGGCAGATAAAAACAACATTACGGTTCAACCCTGTAGCTGGTGAACTTAGTGGAGCAGTTAGCTGCTTAAGAGCCATATATTTCCCTCAGGAGTCGGTGGAGACCAAGACAGAGCTAAAAAACAGAGTGAACATTGGACCTACATTCATCAGATAGACATAAATACAACTCTAAATGTATAAATAGGCAACTTTTTGCCAATAAATTGCACTTACAAGGTGATATATGTCAGTGTTGTGTTCACAGCTTGTTTAAACAACCCACAAGTGGCCAAAACATCAGTTATTGCAGGTTTAAAGAGGATATCCACTGCAGCTAACAGAGTGTGAAGTTTCTGTATGTTTCTATCCATCTACTCATCCTCGGTGGCTATCAGGTCTCATGCTAACTAACCAGTTGTTATTGTATCGATTCCCAAAACACCATGAATATAAATGCACCCAAACACTTCACAATCTGCTTACAGGCTCAATCACGACTGCGTCGCAGCAACTGGTGACAAGAATAGACTGCAAATTGATGCTTTAATCGATGCTGCGTAGAGAAGTGCTGGTTTGTAATGCGCTACAGGGATGAAAGAAACATCCATCCGGTACAAATGTGCACAGACACGAACTCGGTGGCGCAGATGTCTGCAGGGGACAGGGTGATCTAATGTGTGACTGTGGAGAGGGGCGAGGCAGCGGGGTGTCAGAGTTAAAGGTGGAGCCCTTCCTTTCAAGTTGAGGTTAAAAGCCTCTGAGGAGGTCACCTTGGATTTAAAGGTCTCCGGGTGTGACTCATAAACAGGTGTTAGAACAGCTGCAACAGAACGGTTGCTGGCTACGGTGCGTCAGAGGGTGAGGCAGAGGGAGAGGGGTGAGGGGACAGTGGAGAGGCGGTGGGTTTGGCCCTCAGACCACCGTGATGGCCCACAGGGACGGGGAGTGAACATTCCTACACACTGACGGGGCTATTTGGTCCTTGACATGATCAGATTTAATGTGCATAACAGTTACAGCTGCGTTTCTGCAGGCCAACCCGGAAGTTAGCGTCACCCTGCTCGACAAAAGGCCAATGGAAGTGCAAAAATGCTGACTGCAGCAATTATCCAACACACCCACGACACAGACCCCGTCGCCAACATCACCAGTGTGTGTGCGTGTGTGTGTGTGTGTGTGTGTGTGTGTCATCTGGATGAAGATTTTTCTAAAACTGTTTCTTGAGAACGAAGAAGGGAAAACCCAGTTTACAAAAATACCCGTGTACGTGTGGACTATGTCGAAAGCTAGTAAGTTAACCTTGACTTTCGCATGTTTTATCACAAATATCTTTTCAATGCTAGAATGGGGAAACCTGAAAACCTTTGGTTTCTCTAAAATGTACATTTTGTATCGTGTAAACTGCTGGTAAAAGTGTACTCACTCAGCTCTGCGATGCTGCCCACCCGGGTAGCGAGCAGCGACTGCTCCAGCGTGCGGAGCTCGGCCTGACCCTCACTCCCCCTCCCCGAGCGCTGCTGGTCCCGGTGCAGGTTCAAACTCTCCGGCAGGCTCAGCACACCTGCAAAAAATATGTATTTAGTGAAAAGTGCCAAAAGTTTTTATCTGCAGCACATTTTTTTGCTGATGTCAGATTAATCAACAACTCAGGGGGAATGCAAACTGTGAAAAAAAAATAAGAGTACAACACACAAATCAGCACTTTCAGTTAAATATTCAAAACAGAGTTGTTAAGCTGAAAAAGAGAGAGCGAGCCAGAGTGCAAACATTTATTGAAATGATTAAACATGGAGACAAAGTCGCAGGTTAAAGGCACACTGTACTGCACATCTTCGTTTGTCGGCAAAACATCTCAGCTGGTATCATGAACACAAGCTCAGACCGAACGTTCTAATAAATGGGACGCTGATTTATTTAGTCTCCGGTGATGCGTTGCAGCTCTTCTGCACAAAGGTTTCTTTTTACCATGAAAATGATACGACTCAAAGTGCATAATTATAGAAGAGTCGCTTGTCGTCTTTGAAATAAATCCCTGCAGTGATTTTTGAGTCTTGGTGTCACTCTGGCTTTCCGCTTGACTTTTTGTTTATAGCTTGAACCCTAATTGAACTAACTAGGGTGCGACTCACAATTCAAAGCTGTAACTTCAAAGCATGACCTTGAGCATAAATAGTTGTTTTTTTTCCCTTGTGATCACAGGTGTGCTCTGTGCCCCCCCCCGGGCAACAAGATGCAGATAATGTTGGCTGGAGAGGATTAATCCATTTTGGTGGTGTTACTGCAGCCAGGCTTTGTTTAGCTGCAGAGAATGGCTGCAGACAGATGGGATATTGAGTTTTTTGCTGCAGGAGAATGGAAAGCAACACCCTGCCGAGTGCTAATCCTAATGACGCGGCGCAGGGGGACACGCCGTTTCTCAACAAACAGTAATTACAACATGGAGGAGCTCAGTCAATTTGTGTGTGTGTGTGTGTGTGATGCCAGCGCAGAAGACAAAAGAGCCACGCAGGCGGACACAGGTGCAGCATCAGGAGTCTGGAGTTCTCCCCTCCAGCTCCAGATTCCTCCCGTCATGTTCCCACAGAGTCCAGCCCAAGAATTCCAGTATTCCCAGTCAGAGTCCCGCTCCCTCTTCCTCCCACAGCCTCTCCGGGGAGGTCAGCTTTATCCGGAGCCTCTGATGATGAGGATGATCACAACAGCTTTTATCTATGACTGCTTAACCTCTGAACGGTATTGATGGAGCAGCTGGTATTTTAGGGTGTGTCTCTAATGACATCCCATGAAACAAAAAAAGGATGTTTTTGGTCTGCACTGTTGAAGCATTTCTATATTTAAAAGAGAAGAAAGATTCCTTTGTTAGCCCGTTGTTCTAAACCAAAGGGTCCTGAGATCATTTCCCGGGGGGCCGCCAGATGTTTTTTGAGAAAAAAAAATAAAAACATACTTTAGACAGAGGAATGGTTTTAACATTAGGTGATATCATTTGCCTCAGAATAGATTCGTGAGAGTCAAAGTACACACGAGTCAAAAAGCCACAGTGCTAGCTGCAACTGAACCAAGCTGATTATTCTCGGGAGGTCGCAACTCGAAAAGGTTGAGAGACACTGCTGTAATGATACGGTGATTAGCAGGAAGGTGAGAACGGGGCTACAACTGGATGTAAAGGGTAAAGCGTTATAAATGACTATATTTTAAAGTATAGTCTGGAGCTACTTCTCACTGAAATATAGTAATTCATGTGCTTTTGAAATAGTTATATGTAACCAAGACTTCACCCACTTTAGCCTCGTTAATTCATCTTGACTATAAATGTCTTTTGACCTGCAAATCATGAGCATTAAAGTAAGTAAAAATGATATGAAGAAAGACATGACTCAATGAGTTCATGAAGCTAACTTGAGACTAATCCAAGTCAGAATTCAAGAGCGACTCTGGCAGTTTTTATATAAAAGGTTTGAGAAACTGCAGAGTAAACAACACATCAGAGTTGCCCTGCTGCAAATGTCTAGGGAAGGTAAAGTCCAAAAAAGTAAAAGTAAAGATTCTGAAAGAAGACTTCAGAGTGGCTGATGGCAAACAGAAAAGCAGGGATTCCTCCATCCTCGGGACGCTCTCCGTCTCCTGTAACAGAGCGAAGCGGAGAAATCTCCTCTAATCACCAAAACCATTCACGGCTACCTCTGCTGGAGATTCAGCACTGTGTGTGTGTGTGTGTGTGTGTGTGAGATTGTGTTTGAGGGGAAAACAAGTTTGAATAATTCACAGTGCCTTCCGTAATCAAGGCCTCCCATCTTGTCCGTCACCCCAACATCCCCCCCCCACTGCCCTAACTATTCTTTTAATATAATTCAGGGAGCCCTTTGCTGAATTATTCATCCCATCAGATCAAGACATATAAACAACTCCGCAGCTCTCTCTTTCCCCACCTCCCACTCCCTCTACATGTTATCTCTCACCAACACTTGGCTTCTCTGGATGAAAAGAAAAGCAAAAAAAAGAAAGTATGAATAGTTGATCCTAGGTGCTGTTTGTGTAATAAACATCAGAGGTGAGAAAGAAGCCAGTCTGGCTCCTTGGAGACTTGGAAAAGAGAGGAAGAGGCGGGGATGGAGGGAAGAGGGGATGCTGACACAAACGCCTGATTAGAAAATGACAAGCGACATGAGACTCCGAGGCATTACAGGCGTGTTTTTATAAGCTCATATTTCTGAGTCACTTCCACCACATCTTCATGTGACCTCCGAGGCAATTGGAAGAGCTACTTGAGAAACACTAATCCCAGATAAACAGATGTGACCTGCATTTTCACGGGGCTCCCTTCATCTGTGCTGCCGTCGGGCAGATGAAGACGGAGATTGGGTCACCGGGACAAGACCACTTTACCGAACTCCCCCAAGTCATCTCCGCAGAAATACTGCTGCTCGTGCAAGTCGTCATAAATAATGTAGAGGACATCGAGCCTTGCAGGTATGTGCACACAACAGCTGTCTGTATGGGAGCAGATCATCGGAGAGAAAAAAAGAATAAGGAAGAGGCGAAGAAGAGTGACAGACAAAAAAGCAAAACAAAAAACAGAACACAAGGCCCAGAACAAAGCAATTAATATAAATCTCACAGCGTGAAACAAAGATGCTAGGCTTTGATATTATCCAGCTTTAAAGCCGCTGCCGCGTTAATGAAGCAGCTTCTCTACCAGGTTTTTTGATGTTTACATGAGCCCGATGAGCTGGAACTTCTTTGAGGAAGAGGAGGCAACACAAATATGGTTCTTTTCATTTCTGTGCTGTTGTTTTACAGCTATTAAGGATGTAGCCTACGTACTTTAACAGCACAGACAGCGCAGGGTTCAGCTCAGCTCTTGCTTCCAGGTGTGTTTGTAATGGAGTCTCTCTTAGATATAACAGTCGGTTTGCTTGTTGCAAATGTGCACAAATGTACATCAACTATGGTGAATCTTGACCTGCAAGTTTGACCGGTGCAAAAGCTCAAACATATTGTGCCATAACACCGTTAAAGACATCGTTGGACGTGTGGAAGAGCATTCCTTTCTGAGAGAGCACTCTTCTATTTGTGCGCTAAATATGAAGCTACAGCGGTTAGCTTAGCTTGGCATTAAGTCCCACTGTTTTCAGGCTTTATGCTAAGCTAAGCTAACTGTCTCCTGGCTGAAGCTTAACGCACAGATATGAGTGGTGTCGATCCGCTTGCAAGAAAGCGAAAAAGCCGACTTCCCAAAAATGTCAGACTTTTCTTCTATCAGCTCTTCAACAGCTGATAAAACCTTTAACATAAGTCAAAGATATAAACAGAACACTGCTGCTGATATTGTTGCCCTTTCCGAAAGGGAAACTGCTGACAGCTCAAAACAATGCGAGATGCTCTGCGAGTTCAGTGGACCGAACTGGCTGCAATCCCTTCCAACAAATCATTGCTCAGTGTTTACTGAACCCTGATGGAGCTGGATGTGAGCATGACCTACAGGCTACAAGCTGAGGACCTGGAGAACCTCAGAGAGTTTCCAGGAACTCAAGAAAACCGCCATGTTTTCAGCCTCATAATGGAAAACACCGTGCAGAGGGTTTTAAAAAAAGGGTTTATTTGACGGAGAAGAGTGCGATATCAATCAGCAACACAGGTCTGAAAAGTGCCTAAAAGTCGGACAGCACTTCAAACTCATCTTTTTTTCCCAGAGATCTGAAGTCTAAGAGGCACCAAAGAGACTTTTATTCCAAATTCAGAAGCAGTGCACTCCAGTTACACAGGTGACAGGTTTAATGGGACACCTTCACATTATAAATGTGAGCTATTTGTTGCCTGAAACAAGAGGTTGAACACATTTATATATTTGCACTAAAAAAAAAATAGCCTTGTTGCGCTTTGTCACTGGTTCAGAGGTGATGCATCATGCCTCCCTACATCTCTGCTCCTGACTTTACTGAAGTGTTTTATTCATTTATGAAGATTCTTTTTGGGCTTTTTGCTATTATTGGATAGTGCAGCTGAAGAGAGACAGAAAAGGGGGGGGGGGGGAGAGAGAGAGAGAGGGGATGAGATGCTGCAAAGGACCACAAGTTGGATTTGAATTTGAAGTTTGAGGTCACGCAGATACTGGGATTGAAAAAATACGATAAGAGTCGTGAGGCTAGCGTAGACTTACACCTCTGCTATAAAATAAAATATGATACAAGCAGTGTGTGCATGTGTGTAATTAATAGCTCGTTATTCAGACTTTCCTGCCGTCTGCGTGAGAAAAGAACCATTTAAAAATAAGGTCTTTTCAGAAGAGAAACGGGAGGCGGGATCGTCTGGACTGTTGGATATTGAGCCCCGGGGGCATAATGGGATTCGTGATCAATGCCGTCCCTTTTCATCATAGACAGACAATCCTTTCTGAATGGCTTCACCACTCAAGAGCAAAGAAAGCTCAATTCCTTAATGCCCGACCTTTGAACATCTCCTCGAGAAAAATCACTTTAAAAGAAAATGACTGCCCAATAAGAACCAAAGCGTTACGATGACTAGGGTGACGTTTTGATTGGCTGTAAGCCACGAGCATCT